TTGCATCACACAAACGAAGGGAAAACACATACACACTCAATAGCGAAATTGTAAACAGGAACAGATTCATTATGGCACATGAAATATGTTTTGTAATATAGAAGATAGTTATAGTGACACATGAAATATGTTTCGTAATAGGCATGGATACTAGAAGTCCTCACCATTCTAAAGCTTCCATCGCCCGGGAAGCAGCCAACTTAGAAAGTTGAGATATTCCTTCAAAGTTCTTTTGCTTCATAAACTCCTTATTAAATATTGCATCAGATAAAACTACCGAAGATGCTCCTTCTCTAATATAGTCCCCAGTAGATTCTGTACAAATTTTAGAAGTAACAAATGAATCTCAGAATCAGCTCAAGTTATATCAAACTGATAAAAATAATTTCTAAGAACTGACTAGCCCAGAAAACAGAAACAGTGATCTGAAAAATGAAAAACGCGACAAACGAACGCAAGCTCTGAATTACTTTGTTTCAAGACAACCTCAATCAATTTAAGAAAGAACATAGGTTATAATATAACAGCCATCTTATGCTACTTTTACAATCTTCTTAGTCAGAGTGTTTGAACATAAGGGTACGTTTGGTTAGTATTTTTTTTAAAAAAAAAAATTGAAAACAAGAGATTCCATCAAAATTTTATTTCATGTTTGTAGTGTTTTTTATATATGTTTGGTAGTAGAATTAGGTAAAGTATAACAATTAAAATAATTACTCAAGATATGCTTAAAGAAATATTTATAAACCATCAAAATACTTGTAGTTACCAACTAAATATTAAGTTAAATTTCAACTATTATTAAGAACATATTTCATGTTGTAAATTTTGTATAATTATTATTTCAATATCATATCATATATTTATAAAAAAATTTAATTTAACAAAAATGAAATGAGTTTATAGCATGAAATACTATATTTATTATGTATTTTCGTTTCACAATTTACTTTCATTTTTTTTTATTTTTAAATTCAAAATTTGAATACATTAAAAATATAAAAATGTTATTTTTCGAAAGAATTTGGATCACAGAATTCAAAAACAATTTTAAAAAATAAATCTACCAATCAGATATTTGCTTAATCCATTTGATTCTATGAATCTAAAAAGATAAAGAATGGTAGAGTTAACTAGATGCTAATACAAAAACAAGTATGAGTTGGAGCTTAGGAGCAAAGAGTTAAAGTTGAGTACTGACCAATAGTTATGCCTTGAGAAGCAACCATTGAGATATGAGGAAATGGCTTCTTGAGGGCTGATATATATTTGATACCACCTAATGCAGAAACTGGATAAACCTACTTTTCAAGATTAAAAATCAAAATAAATCCATAAAAAAATGATAAGGGTAGAACCATATTTTGATGTCAAAACCTTGCAAGCAAAAGAAAAATTGTAAGCACTCAAGAACACAGCAATATAAATTACTTGCATAAGTTTTCTGTTCTTATTCTTCATAATTGTATACCAATCCAGTAATTCCCATTCAGATTTTTCCATGGGAATTAGTTGTACAGAAAAGCATCAAGAAATGAAAAGTATGTTTATGCAGGACATTTTTGTTTTTTCATTTAATGTATATGAGTATAATTTTAATCCTGTTTCACTTGCGATAAACCACGAACTCTAAGAAATCAATGGATCTCCCTAAATCAGACAAGAAATTTACTTACTTTAACAATCTGAGCGCCAGCTTCATATGCAGTCAGTACCTGTAAAGTATACACATAACTACTTACAAAGGTAATTTAAAAGATTCAAAAACTCTTTGTGGCAGAAGCAATGATTTCATATGTAAAAAGGAGGAATCCTTGAGAATTAGAAAGGGGCCAAAAGTGTTCTTCAATTACTTCTGTCGGGGTCATCACACCAGGTATATACAAGAATTCCCCTTCAAGATCATCCATGATACCCTGTGAATTAGTAAAAGTAATCTGAAAGGAGAAATATCTTCATAGTCTCTTTTAGTTGGAGTCAAAGACGAAAAATCACAATAGAAAAAGAAAACATGAAAAAGGGATAAAGAGGTTTCAACATATGCATGTAAAGGTCGCTGCGGCATATAAGCAAAAGTAAATGTATGCTTACCTTCACCATAGTGGGACTCATTAGAAACTTGGCTCCAGCTTCGACAGCATTCTTTGCATCCTTAACATTAAGAACGGTCCCAACCTGCACAATATTTGGGAATCTTCAGAAGAGTTCAACAGGTAACCCATCCATCTTTTTTGAGGCTGACAAGTTGCATTTTAATAAGCATTTAGATTAAAGATACAGTTCATCCTAACTCATCAAAGGTTCAAGGGAAAAGGCTTCACAAATTTTGACCTAAGTCTGCCAAGGAAATATTACAAACATTAAGAAATCATCACACGGACAAACAGCAAAGAAAATAATTACTCCCAATGTTCTTGTAGGATAGTCTTGCAGCAACTGTTGTAGAACCTGTTTCAAATTTTATAACACAGAAAAAAATAAATAAAAGAATGAGTATGACAAATACTTGCAATTAATAACAACTACAATGTCAAGGAAAATATTCTCTACAACAACCTCAAGCACACCTGGTGTCGACATAACAATCTCGAGCTGCATAGCAACAGAAGAGGAAATAAGTTAGAAACCATCAATCAATGCATTTGAAGGAAAGGGAAAAAACACTGTTTCGTTGAATAAAGTTGATGCTCTAGTCACTTTGGTTATAATTTTTCATGCACTTGCCACTTACAAAAGCATTTTAAGGGCAACTTCTTGAACCTTTTTAAATTCTATTGATCATTTAGAAAGGACCAGCAATAAGAAATCATACATCAAAAGAATATTTGAATCTATCGGTGAATATTACTCATATCGCCAATTCAAATACAATTTTCATTTACAGATTAATTATGAACTAAGAAAACTTCAAATTAAGAGCACTCACAACTGATACTCCCCCATTTAGCGCAGCACAAGCAGCACTCATTGCCAGCTCCGCACTATAGTGAATTTAAAAAAGAATTAAGGTGCACATCAAGGCTCTAGATAACTCAAGACAAATGATATTGAATTTCTTGACACTGATAAACTTCGACAGCCTAGACTTCTTTATATTAGAGAAAAAAAACATGAAGGCATGTTTGAGGGGTCTCTGAAGGACGCAGGAAGTTTGGCCAACTTTGATGCCTTTCTTTGGATCCACATCATTAACACTTTTGTAACTTATCTTTTATATGAAATGGCTAGGTTGGGAGCTCCTTCATTTAAGCCTACACATTTCAATTTCAATGCGTTTCTTTACTATTTAAAAAAACATCTGCAATGATTTCCAAAATTGAGGAGAGCATCTACTTCAGCAAACTATTGAAACTCAACATCTAATAAAACAATGAAAATGTATGTTACCATAAGGTTGGTGCTATCAAACCCTTTTTAGTAATATAATCACGGAAATGGTTTATATACATAACAGACCTTGATATCATTATTAGCTAATCAGTAAAACATACGTTGACAGTAGTGAGGACATTGGCTTTACCTGCTGGACATCAAGAACCAATAGTTCGATCTTGTGAAGCAGAGAGTTTTAAGAGAATCCAGCACCACGATATTCTAAAATGCAGAAAATGTTACATAAAAATGGGTTACCTGCTAGCGCGAAGGCAAGCAATAACTCCAGAATTGTAAATTGTTCTCAGGGTCTTGTCTTTGGGAGAAACTGGTAGCTGACTAGAAGCACAAGAAACTCTAAAGCGAGCAAATGCGAAAGGGTTCCAACACCCAATAGCAGGCAAAGACCACATGCTGATTCTCCTAGCAACCAACATGTACTTCAAATATAGTCTTCTGGTTGTTAGAGAAGTGTTTTATTCCAGCCAATCAGATACACTGATGATGATGGATGTCACTTCAGCAGTCGTGGATTCAAGGGAATATCTACCATAGTGAAAAAATTTATAATGTTAATGGAAAAGAAAGGTGATGAACAATAAGATACACGAAATACTAACAGCAAATAAGTTTTTTGTAAGATGAAAGCTGATATGACAATTATAAGTCAAGAGAAATGGACCAGAGGACAAAATTCTGCAATCCATTTTTATTGATTGAACTAAAGATGCTCGTATGGAAACCAGCAAAGAATTTAGGCACAAGGAATGCAGCCCATGAGAATAATGTGAAGTAGCCCGAGAGGATTACAATAGAGAAAATACTGTTTCAGAAAAAAGCGATCAGACAGTAAACAATGCAAATAAAGTACAAAATTCAAAGGGCCATGTGAAAATGATTATGGACAACTAATCATGCAAAAATATGTACATGACCTTATCTAACATCATGTCAAACTTACAGAAATTTGCAAACAATTTTCAGCAAAAAGTTGTTCTAAATTTCTGTTGCCCCCTTCAAGTGGAGATTTTTGTTCAATGATCTTGGCTTCTTTTCCAGATGTTCTTCAATATTTCCACAGGTTCATGTATCTTATCTTCCATGACAGAAGATGAGGGGAGTCTGGTAAGTAAGCCACTATTACATTGCCTCTTGTGAGGACTTGGATTGTTCACAACGATTGAATCTTTGAAGAGAAAGTTGAGAGGCTCAAGGTTCAGTATATCTTACTCATTTCTCACCTCTGAATCATGTTTCTTAGATAAATGTATTGAAATTTTTTCAAGCCAATGAAGACCAATTGGGGCAACGCTTCTATAAGCTTCACTGCCTGATAGATTTGGCATTACACTGCCTTCGTTTCTTCTTTTCTAGTATTTTATTCATATATATCTTTGTTTTTTTCCACAGGAGAAAATAATAATGCCAACAACAAAAAGAAATTCAAGGAATTACATAAATGTTATGAATTCGAGAAACATTAGTAACTAAACTTGAGGAGGTCTGCTTAAAGACAAAAGAACGAGGGTCTGATGAAATCTAGTTGGTTAATATAAAGACAATGATTACAAAAACAATATGAATTAGAAGGTGCATAATGATTGGTAGTCTCGTCATTTATACTCACTCAAATGGAGAAGCTTTTCGTTGCAGATTTGTAAAGGCATAATGATTGGTAGTCTTTCCTCTATCCATCTTGTCTTGGTTTTTTTTGTTCTTTTCTATTCTTTCTTAAAAATGATAACAAGCTGCAGGGGTTTGACTTTTTCTCTTTTCTGATGTTCGACAAGGATCAATACTTGAATACGAAAATGACTGCTTATCCTTCATGGAGCAGTAAATCATCTATGGTTGACCTAAAGAAAGGCATGTTATCCTGTAGATAACAAATAGTCTACCCATTACCTGCTTAAAGTATCCCTTACAGTTCAACTCGGTACTGTGGCTACAACCTTCATATGGAACCAAATTTTTGTATGTACTTGAGAAACTGTGGTACCATACTTCAACAAGAAGTAGGAACCAGGACCGACCACATCTTCACCTTCTAAAGTTTGCTGCTCAGTTGTTGAAGGAACTGAGAGATTATTGATACAAGTGTCAATGTAGAACACAACTTTATCCTATTCATATTGGAGGTAAAAAATTATGAATGAATGCAGATGGATACTTGGGTATTTGAATGTTTGACGCCTATTGACTACCAATAATCATTGCACGAGCATAAACCAGCCATGAAATGATGAAAACGATTAGAGTCTCTAATGACAATCTCCTTCTGAAGTAGCCTTGAAGCTAACTTCATGAAATTATGACAATCTACACAAATTCGGATGTTTTTCATAATCCTTATAGGAGTACTGACACAACCCAAGTTGTTATCATTCATTACAGAAAAAACCAAAGCCAGCTTCTCGCTATGATGATATAGCTGCTCCTCTTTTTGCTCTTGTTCCACATCATGGATCGCTAAGCTTGTCTCGGGCACATAACCGATTTCCTTTAACCTCCCAATGAGCTCTTCAAGTTCATTGCATATTACCTCCCTCTCTGGATGATGGCGACCTCCAGATGCAAACTCATGTACTTGATTTTCTATTTCTACCCAACTTAATCCAGGTTCCTTTCTCACTCTAGACCCTTTCATTTCCATTCTAATTAAGTCTGCTTCATAAAAGCTACCACTTAAGCAATATAGATTTGACATTTGCACATAAGCTAAGGAATTGCTAGGATCTAACTCCTTCAATTTATCAGATGCTAATTTGGCCAATTGTGTTGCGCCATGCTTTTTACATGATCCCAGGAATGAACTCCAAATAACATAATCAGGTTCTATAGGCATTTTACTTATAAAATCTTCAGCCTCTTGAATCCGACCAGATCTCCCCAAAATGTCAACCATGCAAGCATAGTGATCTAGTTGGCAAACAAGTCCATAATTTGCAATTGAATTAAAAAGTTTGGTCCCTTCTTCCACGAGCCCTGCATGGCTACATGCTGAAAGAAGAGAGACAAATGTAGTAGAATCAGGTGGCACAGTCATCTTTGAAAAAAGCTGCAAAGCAATCTCAGCTTGGCCATGGACAGCATAGACCTTCATCATTGTGTTCCAAGAAACCAAATCGTGATGTTTCATTTGATTGAATACTTTCTTGGATGAAGTAATTGAACCACACCTCCCATAAGCATGAATCAAGGCATTGTTAAGGACTGTGTCATCCTCAGACATAGATTTAATTAGCAGTGAATGATATGTTGAAGCATGCTTCTCTGTTAGGAATCCAGCACAAGCCTTTAATACAATCGAAAAAGTGTGTCCATCTGGAGTTAAGCCTTCTTGTCGGAACTGACAAAAAAGGGAAAGTGTTTTCCCAGGGTCATGGTCTACAAAAGCTGTCATGATGCTGGTCCATAAAACTATATCCCGATTATATCCTGCTTCAATAAAAAGCCTATAACTATCCGCAATGTCCCCTCCAAGTTCAGCATAAGTTTTTAACAATGCAGTAATTATTTCAACTTCTGATGTGAAAGCAGTTTTTAATGCTTGACAGTGTAATTCACGACAAAAGCCCAAACCAAGATCAAGTTCATCCCAATTGCAGAGACTTAAGGAAGACAAAGTGCTTAAAAGTGTTGCACGATCAAATCCAATTCCTTGACGATTCATTTGCATAAATAAATGGACAGCACAATTTCCATGTTTTCGGAAACAAAACCCTGCAATCATCGAGTTCCATGTTATAAGGCCGGGATTTTCTATGCTCTTGAACATAGTCCAAGCATCATCTTTACTATCATTAAAAGCGCCACCTTTAGAGTAACTCTTGCTATACATGGTAATAAGAGCATTTGCAACATAAACGAAAGCATCTAGTGACCTTTTCAAGGCAAACCCATGTATCTGCCGCCCACGCTCACCATCATGGTCACCAAACGAGGTAAGCAAACTTGCAACTGTGAACTCATTTGGCCTGTGATCTACCAACATTCTCGAAAATATAAGGAAGCACTCATCCACATGGCCATACTGAGAAAGTCCCGAGATAAGCACAGTCCAAGAGACAAGGTTTCTCCTAGGCATCTCATTGAATAATTGGTAGGCATAGTCTAAATGACCACATTTACAGTACATGTTGATAAGGTGATTGGTAACAAAGAGGTCAAATGAGCCCATGGGATCCAGGGACATCATGTAACGGTGTAGTACCGCACCTTCCCGGAGGCAGCGGAGGCGTGCACAAGCATGGAAGAGATATGCATAGGTCTGGAAGGAATGAGGCTGTCTAGAGTAAAACAGTGAAAGAGCCTGCTCAAGGTGGCCACGCGTGGAAATCACGGGGGATCCAAATAGATAGTCATGACGAAAATCTTCTGTCCTAAAAGACACGATATCGCCTTCTGCCCCCGACCTCCAGAATCTAAGTTGGGAACCAAAACCATACTTACTTGGGTACAAAACCAAATTCCGTTTGGCAAGAAATCGAAAATGAATTGTCGTGAGATTCATGAGGTCAATGAACCTATCAGCCTAAATAAACAGATAGAACATTATTGTACCACTCAGGCATTTCATCAAACACTTAAAATACAAAAACTCAGCACCTCAATTTTCACCAACACATCAAGAAAAAAAGAAACCACTTATAAGCTTCCAAAGAAACACTCCAGAATTTCACTTCCACAAACACAAATATAAATCTACAAATAACCCTTTTCTCATTGACATTCTCTTATCTCGACAAGCCACTTAAAATTCAAACTCAATAAAGAAAAGGGTTCTTCTGAAACGCTCTTCCCTTCATTCCGATTACAACATGAAAACATTCAGGTTTAGCAGACGAGGGAAAACAGTATACATATCCATAAGAATAAACATTGAAGAAATAAGTGCGTAAAGTTGTATAAATATAGTTATGAGCTCAACATACGAAGAAAGTGAAGAAGAAATGGCCTCGCAAGCAAACAATAAAGAAACATAAGAATTTGGTGGAGTTGAGGAGGAAGACCTTAACAGATTTTTAGCAGAGAAAACGGCATTGATTTGCGAACCCACAGAGAGAGGCGATGGACTGGTTAGAGCGCGAAGGGGAAGTGGGAGTGTATAAAATAATAAAATAATGGAAGCTTAATTTTTATCATATATTTATCATTTTAAAAAATTTCATCTTTTTATTCTTTTCCTTCCTTATTTAATTTTTTTACATTATTCATAATTATTTATTTTAATGTTATCATTAAAATATCATGAAACAATTCACAAAGCGGGTTAATTAATTAATTTAAATTAACATTTTTTATTAGTTTTTATTGCATCACTCACAATTCAAATTGATTTTTTTTATTAGTCTATTCTCTCGATTCCTTTTTTTTTTTTTTAATTTTTATTGGTAATATTTAAATTCAATTAAATATTAAATATTATAGTTGCCATTTTCCAAAAACACCCCGCACGAAATGGGAAGGAGCCAAGGAGTTGATGTGGGCTGGCCGACCTTTGGGTTTAAATTGGTTTGGGCTTCTAGGAACTAGGCCCACTTTATCGAAGCATAGGCCTTTTTGGGTTTTAATTGGGTTGGGCTTCTAGGAACTAGGCCCATTATCAGCTGGGTTCAAGGCTTCTATGACCCGGACCCACCAGCTCCAAGCAAGTATCGTAATAAACAAACAAATATTTGTAAAATGTCACAAATTAAATTTATTATATCATACAAATATAATCTGTCTCATTTTTAAAAAATTAATTGAATTTTAAATATGTTTAATAAAATTTTAAAATTTTAATCTTATATAAAATCCTAAACTTTAAACTTTAAATCATCCAAATAACCCACGATTAAAAACATAAAATTGGATTAAATAAACCCGATACATTTTTTTCTACTTCTTCCTTAATTTTGTCCTCCGCCTACAGCTCTGGTGGGTTCCCTTAACCAAGCCACACTGCCTATGAGTCGTCGGCCCATTCTTCAACAGGCACGCGGTCAGAATCTTGGTCTCTTCCCACTGCTTGGAAGCTAAGAGTTTCATGTTCTATTTCACTCCCCGATGGAGGTTCTTTTCACCCTTCCCTCACGGTACTCCTCCACTATCGTCACCCAAGAGTATTTAGCAAATTGAAAATTGAAAATTTAAAAATTTATTAGACAAATAAATATAAACACAAAATTGAAAATTTAGATTTAAAATTTAAAAATCTAATGATACAAAGCTTAAAATTTTTAACTTTCCTATCGCTTTAAATCTTAAATATTTGAGTAGAAAACATAATTTACCAAAACAATAGCCGAAGAAAATCACAAATATCTCATCCACAAACATTTTAATTAACATTTCAACAGAAATCTGACGACTGACTCAGCTCAATTTCTATTGAATCCTGGACACCTAATTTCTTGAACACATTTTTTTTTTTTTTACAACCCTAACAAGATTTTTGGCTTTTTCCGAAGCGAAATGTGCAAGAGATGCAACTTCCCTCACCCCTCAAACCCAAAACCCAACCATTAGATTTCAAACGAAGTCTCTCACTTAGTTTTCTGTCAATGCCATTAAAATAAAAGGATTAGAGAAGTGAAGTTCACCCATTACAACCATCCTTCAATGGCAGTTGTTGCTATATGCTTATTTGTTATGACCAAGCAGTATGAAGACAGTCCTCCCAGGAGCCATACTTTGAACTAAAACTGCCACCGCCGTTTTGTCGAGCATACTCCGAAATGACGTCTCGAGCACACATGTCCCATGTCCTGGCCACTTCACTTATAGAGAATGGATGTGCAAGGCTTCGGACAGACATGTTGAACTTTTCCCTTGCCTGCAATGAAAGGTCTTCGCAACCTGTTGGACTGAAAAAAAGAAGTGAATTTATAAGTTAAAAGGATGAAATGTGTAATGGTTTGAGATTCTTGAGAATAGAAAGTCGAATAACCTATGAATTCAGAGTAAAGTTCTCGTACAACTATTAGAAGTGTTTTCCAATGGACATATTAAGTGGTCTTAATGGGCTTATAAACTTTTATAGCCGAAAAGTCCGAATCATCAATGCATTTGAGCTAAATACCAATTGAAAACACTTCATGAACGTCAATATGAGCATAACTCAGTTAAATGAGATATATACCCTCAACCAAACTAGTTAAGCCTTTCTCTCCTAGTCGACAGAGTTGTCCAACTCAAATTCAAGATCTTTAGATGTATACCACATTCTTGTGTGCGCGCCCTTTTGATTCATTGTGGTTCCCATAAATTAATAAGGTTGCAAAAAAATGTGAATCTAATAAACTAGAAAATCAATATCTACCAAAAAAGGCTCATCTAATAATATCAGTTACGAGTGACCCAGCTCGACTACAATGCATGAATAGCAAAGCCAAAATCAAATGAAGGATTGGATGTTGCAAAAGGGAAATAAGAACCTCAAGTACAAAAGCTCAAATCATATGATGGTATCATAAGAGAATTCTTGCTATTAAATAGGAGAAAGGATAAATCCTCTTACCAAGCTTCCATCTTGAATATTGGAGAAATGTGCGGATAGCCTATGGGAACAAGCAACTTTAAGGGATGCATTGCCAACTGCATATCATATGAATAAAATAAGAAAGATGGAGTGGAGTAATTAATACTAGGTTTAAGTACAAATTTGGTCCTTTTACCTTTAGTTTTGGTTTACTTTTAAAATATTTACTTTCAACTTTTGTTCAGTCTGGTCCATGTGCACTCAGAACGCTTATTTTAGTCAATGTACTTTTGAATAGTGACCATTTTGATTCCATTTCAAAGTTTTAACAAAAATTTTATACACAATTGAAACTATTTAATACAAATTTATGAATTTATGGCTATACTTTAAAGAAGATTAAAGAAACTCTTTAATACAAATTTACAAAGTGTAATGCCAAAATTTTGATTAAAAAAAAGGATAAAAATGAAAATGAAGGGACCAAAATGATCGCTTTTTAAAAGTATAGGACCAAAATGAACTAAAGTTGAAAGTACATGTACCAAAATAAACATTTTAAACATACATGTACCAAATGAATCAAAGCTAAAAGTACATGAACCAAAATAATATTTGAAATAACGAATCATATTAATTATAAATTGGCTCAAGTACCTGAATAGCTGAAGTTTGGTGTGAGATTAAATGTGAAAGGGTACACACAGCACCAAAAGAACATTCGACTAAGATCCCTTCACTTCTGCCAATTGTAGCTCCAGGATCCGTCGTTACCATATCTTTGTCACAAATAGACACCTCTGTATAAATCAGCTGCTCATTTATCCTCCTAATTTCTTCCAATAAAGATTGCTTCACCGGCAATGAAAACCCATGCCAATTCGAATGTTTGGGAGTCTATATTAACATATGCATTTGAAAGAATATGAAAGAAATATGTCGTCAATAATAGGAAGTTTATAAAGAATATCTATCTGAAATTGAACAAAGTAGTTGTTTGATACTACAAGACTAATTGTGTTCAAGATATTATAACCATGAAATATAAAATTACCACATAAATTTTTCTTTTAAAAATACACTTATTCTTTCAAAAGTTACAATATTACACTTCATCTTTCACAAGCGTTTGAACCCACCTTTGGAGTAGAATTCCTTTAAAATTTGAATGGAAGTTGGAGTATGAAACGGTGAGGGGTGACCTAAAATGAAAATTTGAATCACCAAATTGTTCTAGGTCATTGCCACACCTTTCTAAGCCCCCATTTCCGTTCGAAATTCCAAAGTAGTAAGGATAGTTTCGAAATGTTAATGAAAGGTCAAGAGTAATATTGCAACTTTTGAAAGTATATGATATATATAATTTAGACATTATAATTTCTCATACATATTATCCTTCATATATCGATTCTATGCATCAGTCAAGATGTATCAAATAAAATAAAGGATCTGGTCAAAACTATCATCCATGGATCTTGTTAATCACTTTTGAGGTGTAAAGCTAAATTCATATTCATTAGTAAAGTGCTCCACACTTTATTTTCTCAAATTAATCAAATAGAATATTTACAAAATTTATCAAAATTAAGCTCATAGTTACTACTAATTGGCAGTTCATGATCACATTTGCGAAAAGCACTTTTTGGTTCCCTCATGCAATTTTATGTTTCAAGTTCAAATCATAGATATAAACCAAATAGATAGTCGTTAATCCAACATAACTCAGTGAATGAAACACCAATTACCATCCCAAGGGTTGATGATTCGATTCTCCACAAACAAATTGAACGGGACAAAAAAGAAAAAAGCAAATATATGGCCACTCACCTCAATTATTCTTGACCTTTGAGTAAATAATGAACTCAAGTCAAAGCCTTCACAATCCATCAAACATCTGTAGTGTCTTGTTCTCCTTGATCCAATAGTGCCTCCAAACCTTGAACATTTTCTTCTCAGACGAGATGCAACTGTGCCCGCCAAATCCATGCCAACTGCACCTTTTGACTTGTTAAGAGGCGCTGATGAAGATACTCTATCAGTCATACAGACAATAGAATCTATGTCACTAACAGAAGCACTTAACGCTTTAGGTGACATTACGTTTACCTGAGATTGAGCCAAGAACAGCATTTCTATGATGTACATAAAAATTTGTTCTTAAGAGAAATGAAACTGAAAAACCTTTTCCAACGAACCATCTTAATCAAACGTTGAAGAGGAGTAACACAGCACTTGTCATTATCACGATCTGAATCTGTTACCTCCTCCAAAAGGGATGAAGGTGACATTCCAGGGGTGGAGACGATGAACGCCTTTTCTGCTTGGGCAGCATCATTTACAATTGGTGGGTAGAGAAAATTCTCCAAAGCCTTCTCGAAATCAACTAACAAAAGCAATGGCAAAACTTTAGGGCATTTTTGGGAGAGATTTAGAAAGGATTAAAATCACTTGTGTCATTTCTAAATCACTTCAAAACATACATTTAATCATTTAAAAAACAATTATGGAGTGATAATTTAAGGCATGCCTTGAAATGAAAATGACAAAAGTACTTTTAACCACTCCCAAACATATCTTTAGTAGGAAAAAAAGTTGCTGAGAATGTAAACAGGATAATACAAGAAAATAATTGGAAATCCTCGACTTGGTTAACTTGTTCTTTGCAATAACCCACCAAGAAACATCACAACCAGTAATTACTGAACAAGGAACATTTCTAAGACATCGTACTCAAAACAATTTCTCCAAAAATTTTCCACAGCGAACAAACTTAATTGAGCAGATCAAAGAATGAATACAGTATATAGTTGAAATTTCTCGATACCTAAAACTTTTACTGCTAATACCCCATTCGATGACCATTTTGTTTTGAACACATTCGAATTCTAAATCAAATTTCAAAACAAAGCCAAAATTTTAAGAACTACTTTGATTATTTTTCAAAAACTGACTTAGTTTTTAAAACGTTTTCAGAAAGTAGGTGATAAAAGTAACAAAACTAAGAGTGTAAGTAGTCTTAAACAAAAATATTAATCAAACCCGGCCTAAGCAATTGCCTTCATCGAGTTATAACTAAGTGAGGCATTCATGTAAAGAAACTTCAACAGCCATCCAATTTCATTTTACTCTTTTGAAGGAACAGAAATCGGTACTCAATTCCTTACCGCTTCCATTTTCAAGTAAACCAGGCAACATTATCCTCCACTTCCAGTAAGCTAATTTCCAAAAATCGCCCAAATAGATCTCGAAGATCCTTTCACCTGAACATGCAACACAATCAATCATAAAGACATAGCTAAAAAATGTGATTCAATCGAAGTTCCACAACTTCACTGTAGGATAACTTTCACTCACCATCACACCATCGCAAGTAAGAAAAAAGAAAAAAAAAACTCAGTTCCACAACAATCATCACAAGCATAAATCACAACACAGAGAGAAAAATAAAGAAAAAAAAGAAGTAAAAAACCATCATCCAACTCACATGCCACAAAAAACGGAAACAAGCGCCGGCGTTACAGAGTTACTGACAGAGAGATGATACTGAGGCAAAAAGAACAAAGAACAAAAAAAAAAAAAAAAACGCAACAAAAACCGATTAAACAAATACCTTTAGGGCATATCGAGAAGAAAAGCCTCCATAGCCAAACTGATTGAGATCGGAAATGGTGGCGAGTTGCCTCATCTTCATGCGCATTATATACTGATATGCTTAAGGAGCAAGCAAACAAAGAAGGAAGAGGACGAACAGATTGGTTGTTCGAGAGCATACAGCTCACATCCGCGCCATTACAACAACCCGTACAAAATCCAAACGTCTGTCACACTTTTCACTTTCTAACGCCCATTGTGAGAGTATTCATGACCAAAACCAACAAATTGACTTTGTTTGTTTTTGAAATTCGAATATATATATACATATAATATTTTTTATTTATTTATTTTTATATAAAGAGAAATAAATTTCACTATGTCCAGGTTGATAATAAATATTTGCCTCCCATATTTTTCATTTGAATAATATTTGACTTTCGGGTCATACTTTTAACTTTTATTTATTTTTATACCATATTTGTCCGTTCGTTTTCATTTAAATTTTAACACGACCCTTCATTTACTATATTTCTTAAAATGTAATAACAAATTTTTATAATATTAGGGTACAAGTTTGTGTTAAATTTTGCCTATGGGATCAAAATGGTATTTTTATAAAATATATATATATATATAAAAAGAATATGGACAAAAATTAATAAAATTAAAAGTATAAAGACTAAATAAAAAAAATTAATATATTATTTTAAGGTATATTTATATATAATATACTAACAATAATATTACACTCATTCATGGACATTATCGAAATTAATATAATAAACGAATGAATTCAAATTAAATCAAAATTTAGAATTTACACAATTATTTTTTTCATTTTAATCACGTCCATATAAAATATGCGAATGATTAAAATTATTGTCGCGTGAAAATATGGAAATAAAAAAAGAAAAAATAATTATTAATTTAAATATGTATGAAAATTAATATATATAGTATACATGCATAATTGCCACTATTATTAAAAAAAAAAGATTATAGTTCCTAGACATGAAATGCTTGTGAGAAAAATAAAATAAAATAAAAATTACAAAAAATAGATAAATTAAAATAAAGTTAAAAAAACAATGAACAGGTCAAATAAAAGGAAACGTGAAAAGAATGAAGAGATGAAATACAATTGGCAATAAAAATATGAGAAATTTTGGGTAAAAATAAACATAGAGATAGATAATATATTAAATAAAATCCGGAAATCTTTTGCCAGATAATAGATTACTATTAATTATAATCTTAGTATATAATTAATGACACGATTAATTACTTTAAATTGTCGATGATTATTAGGAAATAAATAAATTAATTAAAATAATATTATCAATGAAGATCGAGCTAGGGAAAAATAAATTAATTACTTTAATTTGTCAATGTCTTTAAATGAATGTTTATCCTTTTGCGTATCTTAAATTTTGTTATATAAAAAAGGAATATAATCTAACAAAAAAAATAATAATAAACAAATTAAAAATTGTTCATAATTTGCTATTTTATATTAAGTATTTTTTTTTTCGCTTTTGTAATAATATCAAGCGAAATTAATTATTATTATTATTTATTTTTTTACATACTATTTTAGATTAAATTTTTTTTATTAAATAATTTATTGTAATTAATTAAGGTTGCTAACTTTTATTTATATAAATCATGTAGAATAAAAAGGGAATTACAATAAAATTAAAACTTTTTTGGCAAAGGAAAAACCAACGCAACGTTATGAAGATTAAACCCTAAATTAAAGCTTGAGAGTTAAATCAACTTCATCACTGTCTTCTACGTGGTGATCCATTTTTAACACGGGCGACTCTGAAAGATTCAAATTCGGTATCGAAATTGGTCTATCTTCGTCAAATCGTCTTATCGATTCTGCATTCATTGCAGTTGATAATCGAAATCCACCGTTATGAATTTGAATTCCCTCCATTTTCAGCCTTTCAAATGTCGATAATTTTGAATTATTGTTATTGTTAGTCACCATCACTGGTCGAGAAGCCCAACCACTATCTACTCCGCCATGAAACTGCAATGCTGGTGACCCGAGCCATCGGTACGACGATGGTTTGTGAATCATTGAATCCATTCGTATTCCGAGTGATTTTCCGAGTGACGATCCGTAGAGTGGATGAGGCGAGAGAGCAGAATATGGATTATAGTACGATGTTAAGTACGGTGGCCCGACTACATTGTCGCCGCTACCGAGTTCCATTCCCTGGCGGCGCTTGGCCATGGCTCGTTCTTGCTTGTGTGCGTTTTGGTGGCCACCTAGGGCTTGGGATGTGGAAAATTCCCTCTTACAAAAGTTGCATGAAAAAACCCTAGCTTTTGAATTTGAGGATAATTCATTTGCATGACCTTGAGAGGAAGAAGAATCCACCGTCGCCGCCGCCGCTGGCGGCGGCGGCGGCGGCGACGACACTATCCTCTTGGAATTCAAAATCTCCGGCGAGCCATCGCCGGACTCTTCATTGTTAGAAAGCTTAAGATCCAACAGCAGCCGTGAGTTCGACTCCTGCGACTGCCGATCACCACCATTGATTTCATTGCCAACGATCATCTCCATCTTCATTGTCACCGGGCTGCCACTTCTGCCGTCGGACGCGGCGGAGATACTAGAAGCTTCAGAAGGGGAATTATGATTATCCTTACCAGTTTCCGCCATTGCCGACCAAAAAAAACCTTCAAAAAAGTTTTTTTTTTTTTTTTTTTTTTTTTTTTTT